GCCAACTTTCTCTTGCCTCGCTTCTCACAATGGTGTTCATTAGCCTCGATAAATTCATGGCCTTGCATCTAAAGATGAGGTACCGAACAGTTGTAACTTCCAAAAGATCCATCGCACTCGTGGCAATAACATGGACACTATCGCTACCATGGTCGGCCTCTTATCTTTTTACTCCGCGTTTATACTTCGTTCTGGTATTAATTATAATTCCTTTTAGCTTTCTGGTGACGTCGATCGTTTTTGCTAAAATTTATTCCACTCTACGCCGCCAACAGGATCGTCTCAGCGTACAATCGCGAGAAACGAGATCACCTGCAAGCCTTTTAGCTGTTTCACGCTATAAAAAGTCGGTAACTAACATGTTATATGTTTATTGTGCGCTTCTAGCGGCTTATCTTCCAACATGGATTGTTCTGTTGATAAGAATTATTGACGGGAAAACCACGAAAATGCTGCAACACGCATCTGAATTAGCGCTGGTGATCGTGTTAATTAACTCAACAGTTAACCCTGGACTGTATTTATGGAGGATCAAGGAACTTCGCCGAGCCTCGTTTGACCTTCTGAGAAGAATATTTTCAACGCGGCGGGAAATGATAGTTAACGGCAGTTCCAAGAGCAGTAGAGTTTCGGAGGGTTTTAGTACTGAACCAAAAATTCAACTCGTAGAAATCGGCCTGGAAAACTGCGGCATGGATGAAGGAGTACATAAGGGTCTGGCGACCAACCGTAATGCTACAGTACTTACTACTCATTTTTAACCGATTTACCAGGACCCGCGGAGCGGATTTTCAAGTGGGACGAGCAGAGGGGGGCTAATGCGAACGCGTAAGCGTGAGCAAACTAGGGGGGTCCGGGGTTTGCTCCCCAGGGAAAATTTCAAATTTAAGTCTTCTGGAACGGCTATAAATGCATCTGAAACTGCCAATTGTAAAATAAATTTATAATTCTTACATCGGCACTTTAAACAACAAGTTACAACCTGGCCCCCACGTTGAACCAAAACTTAAATGAACAGACTTTGAAGCTAAACCCAACAAACGCAACGGTTGAGTGTCACCCTGACATTTTTAATAAGTTCGATTCTCTGAAGGGGCCAAAGTTGCCTTTCCGAAGGTCATTAAGAGCTACAAACTCATTAACAACAGCTACAAGACAAAGTTTGTCTGTTCTCTGTTTGTGGATGCTCAGTATTGTCAGATTACTAAACTACCTTGTTTGTCTGGTAAGTGAGTGTAATCAGAATACGCGAAAGTTTCTTTACAGATCTCTTGTACAGTGATTTTAGGATTACGTATCAAACGCTGAATACATCAGAATATTATATTTCAAGCAGCTTTCAATTGCAATGCAATAAACGACAAAACAAATGATTTCTAAAGCTTATTCTGAATTCTCATTCCAGAATACAGAATACGCGCCCTAATATTAGCCAATTTACCGCCGTAAATGCCTGGGGGGGTACTTCCTTATAAGAGGCTAATGGGGATGTGCCGCTGGATGGGGTCGCATTTTCACGACTGGATTGACTATAATGGGGTCGCATTTTAAATACAGTAACTAGAAAGATGTCGCACATATTCGGATTTCTTGGGGTAAGACAGTTCTTCATATTTACGGGTAGCAAACGTATCAGAATGTTTGTGCTGTAGATGAAAAGTAAAGTGTTCTTCATTCAATCTAAAAAATGGGTCAAAAGTGACTAAGTTGGGATCGCGAAAATTACATTTTTGCCCAAAAGTGACTAAGATGGGGTCAATAATTTGCCACAGAATAGACTATAATGGGTTAGGGGCTCTGAGTGGCCAGCGGCACATACACAACAAAAATTAACCCAAGTACACCCCTCCCCGGGGTAAATCGATTTAACAGCTGACGCTTTGGGGAGCGCTAAAACTTCCTTCTTCCAGCGCTCGAAATATCTGCTTATGAATCTTTTTAAGGGAGGAGGGGGATGGGCGAAAAGAACAGATCTAGCAACTTAGTTGATAAAGGCAATCTCCCCCTTTGCTCCACTAACGTAGAACAAGTTTCACTCACGGGTCAAGGATCTTTTTACCCTGCGAGCAGAGGCCAGATTTTCGCTGTGTGAGCTGGCGTGCGAAAAGTAGCCTCTGCCGACAACCGTTCAATTTTCTATCGTGCATGCCCAAAATTCGTCACGCAATTCGCCAGCAAAATTAATCGTCACAGTCTGTCGTCAAATGGCGCGAGTTTCGCGGGAATAAAAAAATTGCCACAACTCTGATCTGTTACGCAAAACTCACCCAATGCTCAAAACCGGTTATAAAGAACAGGAAAAAAGCCCATTTTTTTAAATTTATTCGTCCACATTTCTGAACGGATTTGAATGGTTGTCGGCAGAGGCTACTTTTCGCACGACAGCTCACACAGCGAAAATGTATCCTCTGCTCACACGGTAGGATCTTTCCTGTCTCAAACATTTCTTAGGGTTTGCTGATCTCTAGCTTGGTTGTCCCTAGGTATTGAAAAAAACAAGCTGTTTTTCAGTGGAATACATATAAATTTATTTGGAATCTAACAATTTCCATCGACACATTTTACAAAAATTAATAATTCTAATTGACTAAGACATCGCAGCATGATCTCTACGATGTTGATTTTTTAATTCTACCTGTGTACAAAAATAAACTAGCAATTTCATTGATGACATCATAATTAAGAACAATGCCAGATTGAAACATGGCGATTTGACTAAAAATGCGCTTTGTTGAGCTGAAATATAGAACAACTTTAAACAAAGAGTTCAGAGGTTTCCATCGCAAAGAGAAAGTTTCATACACGTTAAAAAATATTTGAATGCTAATTCGTTTAGCAGAACAGCACAGTTCTCAATTATGACAATCATCGTTGTGCTTTAAAATAGAAAACCATTTGCGTATTGACCTTTCTTTTTATCAAAACTGCACTTAAAAAAAATCTAGGGTCATACAGGGATCACGTGACGCGACACGGTCGCTACCTGATTGGGCCTGAAAGAAAAAACTACATGGTTTGTTACCTGGCAGCTAAAGGTGGACAGAAATATTTCAGTACGGCAGTATAATTTATTCAAACTTTTTGTCAGGTAAACTAGGTAAATTTACCGCACTTCAGGAAACGTATGAGTGAGACTGGTTTTTTCTTGATTCCCACACTTTAGCTGCTAACGAATCAATCCCATAATACTACTTACCCAAACTAGCAAAACGGTTTCTAAGGAAACCACTGTTCCTATACATTTATCATGGACAAAACGTTTTCTTTTAATTCTTAAACTTTATCGGCAATGCGAAAATAGCAATTTTGGTTTCTTGGGCCCCTTTTATATTTGATTATATGGAAGGACTTTAAGAATAATAATCCATTGAAATTCTATAAAATTCAAAAAACCTCGCAAAATAAATGGCAAATTGAGAGCTTACAAATAATGTTTATCCGAATTGGTGTCTCTACCCGCAAATTGCAATTTCAAAATACAATATTATGTCAATTCTAGGTATTATTTGCCGACTATGAGGGGAGGGGTAAGGGTAGGGAAAAGTCGTAAAAACATTAAATACCGACCCACGACAAACCATCGCTAGGCTCGGATCAAACATCCTACTTCACATGAACCGAACCTAACGTTAATGACTACAAACTATTGTTCTCGCTTATAAGCATTACGTTCCGCTCAATGAAGTACGGCCCGGCCTAAAGCTACGGTAAAACAGGCAACAAGAAAAGTGCAACTTGCTTTGCAAGATTGCTGCAAAACAAATTGAATAGTACAGTAGCGATGTTGCGCGTTTTATCGCCCACGTTGTAACCTGCCATGCAACAAATAAGTTTCCAAGGTTGTTTTCGAGGGTGGTATAATGCACATCATGTTTTGCAACAACGTCGCAAAACAAGTTGCACGTTTTTTGTTGCCCGTTTTCCCGCATGTGTGTGTGGCCGATTCTCTATCACGGTTCAGTTTCTAACGCTGATTTTCAATGTAATACTGATTTTCAACGTACACACTAAAAAGCATTGGAGTAGTTAAGAAAAGGTGAATGGATTATCTAACATTTTGCAATACAATGTCTTATAATGCCTGCCAAAGAGTTCCGATGTATCCAATAAATAAAAGTTGAAATGAATTCCTAAAGAAAAGGCTTATGCATGTCCAAAAAAGATAACTAGGAAAGCACATTCTCTGCTCTTAATAGTACTTGATTAGTCCATGGTAAACTGAAAACAAAACATTACAAAACGAAGGTCAATTTTATAACAAGTCAGAACACCCTTCACTGTGCAGAAGCTCCAAAACGTATAAAAATCATATGTAAGTCCACGATTGGTTACCTTTTTAAGCTCAGGAGTCCCGGGAAGGTTAATCAGTAGTTTGATTAAAAACATTGACGCAGAAGGATGATGCATAACAAACATGAGAGAAAAACGACAAATCTGTTGCACTTCGGCTTTATCTGGCCTCCGTGAGTAAAGTAAGTCGTAACTTGAACCTAACCTACTCATCATCATATTTATAGAACGTAAAAGGGTTTACTTGCTAGGAGAGCTTTACTTTTAACCCTCAATCTTGTTCTTTAGAAACGTAATAGGGTAAAAATGTACTTTTTTCTGGTCGCTCATGTACAAAATGACCGGCAAACCGAACGTTTGTCCGGACCAATGGTCATCTCGACCGTACATTGTCCGTTGACCGGCCGTTATTTTGAGGCCTACAAGAGTCGTGACCAACATCTATTTCCTCCTAACAGTATTTAAGAGAATTAATAGAATTAATGATCACCTGAGGGAAATGTTTTGATCTGTTTTCAAATCCTCCTAACTAATTCTTGATGGAAATGTATGGAGATCAGTCAAGAGATTTGTATTTGGATTGGCATTGGCGCTGAAAGTTTTGAGGGGCGGTTTAACCCACCTGATTGACTATAATAGAGTTATGTCATCCGCAACAGTTAAAAATCTTTAAATGGCTCCAGTAATTTGCCACTGAGTGGAGGTGCAGCTCTCCAGTTCTCCTCGGGATAATCATCAAAATTTCTTGTATCACCAGGATGGGAAAGCTTTGGAATTATCGGTGCCTACGTAACAATAAATGGAGGATATTATACGGTGGCGAGAACATAAAATTCATATCTTCGAGCCAACGTGTAATGTTCTTTTTATTATATGGAGAAAACAATTCCACAAAAGCAAAAGGCGGGAATCGTGACGTCATTGAACGATACGACACTCACAAAGGTGACGTACCGAAAATACGCCACTCGGGTCCCGGATGAAGTGGCGTATGGAATCTACGAGTGGTTTAGTTCCCAGTAAAACACTCTCCTCCATATAATAATAGGAACTACATCATTTCATGCTATTTTACAGACAGCATCCAAACAAAAGTAGCCAGAGTAACAAGTTGTAAATGGCTTCAGTCCAGAAATATCGGTTTATTGAATTCAGGTCTCCAGGTATTTCAACCGTGCAAAAACCATCTTTGCTCATGAAATGCCACTCATGTGTCATCAACGGTACTAGCCAACTGCGGTGCAGGCGCAATTTTTTTTAACTAACGAGCGAGCATTCGGTAATTTCTGCGTTTATTCACCATCATTAACTTTTGACAGTAGAAAATTGGGGAGAACAAAAAGTAGAATCGATGGGGCGGGTACAAGGTGAAAGGATGAAGTAGGGTGTGAAGGGGTGGGGGGTGGGGAACAGAGAGGGAGCATCTTGCCTAACTAGACCCCACCCCAGCCCCCTCCTGTGACTCGTGTACCATAACCCGAGCAAAACCATAATTAGTAGAGGGATCCACTCTGTTAACTATGGATAAACGGTCCCGTGTGAACAAAGTGTCCGGTCATATTTTTCAACCAATCAAAATTCGTCTGGTGTCATGTGAACATAGCCTTACGCAGCCTTGACGGCTACACCATAATAATCAACACACGACAACTAGCAAGTCATGATCAACAAGAGCAGAAGGGAATTTACACTACAACAATACATCCATCATTCTGTGGAGAAACCAACACCCGTACCTTAAGCTTTCTTTGATAAACTAAATTCCAGTCAATAACTTTAAACCACTTGTGAGATTTGACATCTTCAGTGCCATTCTGAATGAGACAAAAATTTACAGAAACACTGACTTGATGCGGAGTATAGTTTAAAAAAGTTATCATGCTTTTGTTCTTGGCTGTAGAGATGGCTGGAGTGTTTCTTTATACTTTCTTCCATCTCGTCCAACGTTACCTTCAATTGTTCGCATTGTTCACTCACCATATCGTGTGTGTGAGGACTGATGGTTGAAGCATAGATAAACTGGATCGCTTAACGCAAATTTTTCTGCAGTGGTCTGGGCACTCACTCTCCTCTGCTGAACAGTTCACTTTAAACTCCGTCTTCAGGTATCTTTTGCCATCGTTCAATCTCTTTGCCAGTTCTTTAACACTTCTTTTGTCGGCACCAGCCTGATTCAGCTCTTCTAGAATACCCAATAGCCGGTCAAAAGATGCGACCCCTTCTGCAGCAATGTTTTCCAGACCACTGAGAGACTTCTGCTGTGAAGCCTCTCTCACTTCAAGAATGCGAAAAAGGGTTGAGCGGCTAGCCGGTTCAAATGATTCTTCTTTGCAATGTTGAAGGTACTACATAATCATGGTCGATCTAGTCACGGTCCGGATAACGTTTGGCATTGTTATTTTGCCTCCCCCATCGAAGGTCAGTGTTCGCGTTCCAAAGGCGACGTCTTGGTAGAAATGCGCACGGTTTACAAAATCCATAAAGTGGTCGACTTTGCCTGTGCCAAACGTACTCGATGAATGAATACTTTTGGGACATTTGACCCCGGCCCTCGTTTCCTTGCATGTAATCTCACTCTTTTTATTTGTCTTGAACGGGCAAGGGCCAATTCCATACAAAATGAACGGGCAAGGGCCAATTCCAAAAACAACACGTAAACTCTCGATCAGCAAACGTTTTACTAAGAAACCATAAAAAAAGTAAATTCCTACAAAAAGCGAAAAAAATAATAGTTACAATACAGAAAAACTACTTTAAGGCGACTGCAAAATGAAATTAATGAAAAGACGATGAAAACAAAGCTGCTTACCAAATGCTGAGGAATACGGGGTTGGTGGTCAGGGACTCCGGGGAAAAAACCTACTTCGACGAATGTTGTTACACTAATAGATCCGTAAAACTGGTAATAAATAAGGGCGAGATAATAAACTATAACGAAATTTACATAAAGCACGTAACAAAGGAGCGTAATTAACAAAATACCGGAGAGCGAAAAGAAAAAGAATACACGATAACAAGTAAGTGAGAAAACGAAAAACAAAAGGAAAATTATTTGCCTTAACATGTCTCAAACTTATCTTTTCATAAGGCTCGTGGAATTTCTGTAATCTCGATATGCAGACATCAAAGCAATAAGATCCTCTGTTGATTCATCAAGATCGTTCGCGGTAGGCTGGCGTATCGCTTGAAAAAGCTTTTCGCCTTCTTTCGGAGCTATAACAATGTAGATTACTTCAGATGCTTTCGTTGCTTTCTCTACGCGAGTTTTTCTTTCATCCGGTATTGCTTCCTCCCATGTCGTGGACAGTTGGAATGTTAGTGGCGTGAGGTCTTCCCTATTTGAATATCTAGCTATTTTCGCCATTCCCTCGTTGAAATCAGCAACGACGTCATCGGATACTTCAGGAATTTCGTCTGTATGTACGTCTTCCTGCGAACCACCCTTCCAATCCCACTCCAACATCCAGGCGTCCAGTTAGCGTCTGCGAGCCTGTCTGTTTGTGGGGTCTCAGGCGTGAAAGTTTCTTTTAGCAGCCTGATAGAATAAAAGGCGTCTTTAAAATTTACTTTGTCAATACTGTACTACAGTTCGCCAAGAGTTTGAAACAAAACATTTTGGCACTTTTGGAAAATCACATCTTAAGTAAACAGACATACGCTATGGATGCAAAATATTATATCACCCTTGATAAAGTGCCGCCCCTATTTAAGCCCCGTCGTGGAAGCAAAAAAAACGCAACCCGAACATGACACTCTCCCGAACACAATGTCGGAAATTTATTTTTCTGGCTAGCACTGTTTTGTAGTTCGGAACGGCCAAAGTTAGCAAGCCCATTTTTTCCACCAAAAGGAACCATTTTTTTTTATAAGTCTATGAGGAACACCGCCCTCAAAATAGTCGCATTCCGCAAATGAGCGCTGCAGTTGAGTCGCAAAATCGGAATGATAAATGCCGCAGCGCGTAATTTAGTAAACCCAGTGTGTACCTTTGGTCTTCAAAGGGTCCAAATGCCGATCTTTTTAAAAGTGTTTAAATATCCCAAGACCTTTTAGGGGCTTATTCAGATGTCAATTTTTTACATCATCAACATGGAGAATGCAGGACTCTACAAGGAGAGGTAGATAACCGCCAACGACGATCGTTTAGCTGTTTCTTTTAAAAGCCGTAAGCTGCAGCACAGTGATGCGGATCGCATTCTTCTTCCTTATCAGGATCTAACTTGAGCCATTTCCTACTTTTGTCCATCACTTCCTTATGTTTGCATCTACACTCCCACATATTGCTAAATAAAAAAGATTGAGTGAAAAAGTGAGTTCATCAAGGTCTTAAAATTTTTATGACAACAGTAACAATTACAGTACTTTGTCATCATCATCGTCGTCGTCATTATCATTATCATCAAAAATTTTTCCTTTTTCTCTTTGTCTTCTCAAAGAAAAAAAAACACCCATCGTGATAAAGAATGAAGTAACTAAATTATTATACGCTTTTTAATTCTTAGGTGATCCTATTCCCTCGGTGACTTTAAAAACCGACTGCATGTATGTTCTCCGCAGTCTCCAAACCAATTACATGCCTTTCGTTACAATGTTTCTTTCTTGGTTCTCTATGCGGTGGATACTGGTAAGAAAGAGGTGGCCGCCAAAATTTTCCCAGTTTTTGCCTATGTTGTGGGGAAATTACCATCTGCTCCACTTGATCTTTCGTAACATTAAAATGACCTGCCCTTGACAGTATTAGGTCCGCTTCACTGAGTCCAGACTTTGATAGATGAAAGATTTCGAGCTGAGTCGTAATGGTGTTTTGATATTCATTTGGGACAAACCGCGCGAACTTCCACATGTTCTTTTCTTAATTTCCCTAGAGCTGCACGATTCGAAATTCATGTTGAAGTTGTAGTATTTGCGCGTGCCAACTTGGCTTTGTGATGAGGGACAGGATAGATAAAGATAAAGATAAAGCGGAAACTTTACCACCAGCGTCACGGGGCTATGTCATGCTATTTGCTATATTTTTAAAAAGGCTAAAACTTTTTTTTGCATCAATTGAATTCCAAAAATGATGGTCCAGTTTTGTGATTTAGGACTATAGTTTGATATTGATATTGACATTGTTTCCCGTCGTCTGTTGGAATGGATTGAAACTTAGGCCAACAACAAGACACATGACATACAGTAACCAGATGAGTACATGACAGATTCAGATACGTAAGGTGACGAAGAAGATGACTTTGAAGTAGTTCATAGCAGGACATGCATGACCATGCAGGTCAGGAAGATCAGTACGTGACTGGTACGTCTGTATCTATGAGGCCGGTGTCATTTAATGGTGATGCGACTAAGTCTATTTTTTTATTATTTGTACCTACAGCAACAATCAATTAATAGGAGCCTTTATAGCAATCGTTTAGCCATTTTTACTTCTTCGGTTAGATAATTGCTCTCTTCTGAGTCAGTGTTAATTAAGTCATCTAAGTATCACTTAAGAAGTATGGATTTTCATATACCCAGATTTAATACTTTACATTAAGGGAAACATTCTATGAGGTACTATGGACCATATATAAGGTCTAGATTGGACAGCAAAGTCAAAGACAAACCTATAGCTTACAGTCTTTTAAGTCCAGCATAAGGCGCATTAACCTTGTAGATCTTATAAGTGACAATTGTCGTTCCTGTGTAATTTGTAGTCCGTCAGGTATTAGATCTGCTATAATAATAGCTTACCAAAATTAGTATAGTTAACTAAGAATTGGCCAAAAAGATAGTAGTTAACTGATATTTGGCCGAAAGATTAGTAGTTATCTGAGAATTGGGTACCCCCATTAGCACCGTCTTACAATGCCGCTCTGGAGGCATGGTCCCCCCAAAAAATTGTTAGAAATTGGATTGTCTTTTATAAGTTGTATTCCATGCCTACGCTTTGAGTGCAATTATATCAGACAACTAAAGTCAATACAGATGTTACTGGTAAAAAGGCAGAATCTTACGTGAGAGGACACGCAGGATTTTTACTGGAAGTACAATCTCACGCAGAGTTGTAAGAAGAATAATATTGTAAGCTTTGTCGGAAGCTAATGCGACTTAATCCCATTTAATACGTCGCGCTCCTCGAAAGTGCTTAATTTTTCTTTTCGTGTATTAATATATTTACGTTTTATTTGAATTCAAACATACAGAATTTTTTCTCTCACGGAGGTTATTTGCTAAACACCACACTAGGTATAGATCGGGCAAAATTCGGATTTTATCGATTTTGAAGTTTTTTGTTCATTGTTGTCATAATGATATTGATTTTACCAAAAAATGGCATTTTGACAAACTTCATTTCGTAGGCAATCACTGGTGCAAAGTTTGTAGCGATCGAACAAGGATAAAATCACTTTTAGGGCGATTGGAAAACATCGGTATGGTCTCCGAAAAACTGTATCGAAACACCTTAAGGCTGCACTATAGGTGACACACCCATGGGTGTAGTGTAATCCAGTGATTCTCTAGGTAGAGCTATATAACAAAAATATAGGCTACACTTTAGGTCTCTTTTCTCTTTTCGTGGCCGTTAAATTGAAACCAGAGATCGTCTCCCAAGGGGAGTTAATAGTTAACTTGAGACGTAACTGTCGCGTCCGACGCGCCAGACAAACAACCATTTGATACCAGCAATATTTACCGTCTCTGATCGGATTCAAAATCCCTTCCAAAACGACTCATTAACACAGGAACACTCCAGGTAAATACATCCTATTATTTTATTAGCTAACACAGCGTAGATACGTACTTAACAATTATTCCACGAGGGCGCGTTGGATAGGAGTTG